AGTCGATGAAATTACGCGGCGAACGAGCTCGTTAACGGTACTCTGTTCTTGTTTTCCATTAACATCGGACACTTTTAATCGTTATCCAAACGGTACTTTTGCCACGCATTGTTTCAAGACATTAGGGGGCCTCTTAAAGGGTCTTTGTCCTACCTGGCGAAAGTCAACAGTGACTACAGAATGGCTTCGGTCTAAAGCTTTTGACTCATGGAAAATCCAGTGATTGGGTACTCAAGTGTATACGGGCCAATTGTGTACGGTCACTCTAATCCGAGTAGAGTACAACTACCTGATGGCAATCTGTTAACCCCTTTGTTATGATGAATGGAAAATAATTCTAAGAAGCTACTATGTATATTTAAAACTGTAGACAATTGTAATTAGACAAACAAACGTTCAGATTACTGACAGTATTTAAAAAAACAGGCACGTCCAAAAAATTATCACAGATCTCCGTCAATGGAATGTTGACGTAATAAATACGATGGTTAGTCTGGTAGTCCACACAGCTACATGCAAAAATTATGGAGCAATGAAACTAGCGCAGGTTACGTTGGTCGTCTTATAGCCATGAGCGAGTCGTTAGCTCCGTTCGTTTACGTGATAACGGCTTATTAGTCGCACTGATGTTGCGTAACAATGACATAAATGTGCGAGACGGTCTGATCGGGACAGATTAACGGAGTGAAACAGGGCCGACCGCTTAAAAGAAAACGGATAATGAACGATTTCTGCGTGGTGAAGTAACCAATACCAAAAGAGTGTTTTCTTTTGTCAATGTTTTTTATTATTACTCTTCTCTAACTAATTTTATATACCGATATACCGATAGTTTTTTCAGACTATAATACCCTACAATCCTTGCAATCACACTGTAATCCAAGTTATACAATAAACACGAAATACAAGGAACACAGAAATATGTCGTCGTCTCCAAAATGGTGGAGACCACCTACAAAAAAGTTCTCCGCTGTAATAACGAATCATTAGAAATTCACCGGAAATTCCAAGTCCCCGGATAAACCATCCCGCTAGGCGGTTCCCAATTAATCCAGAAAAGGAAGAAGCAGAATGATCCTGGACCAAAAAGTAAAGGAACAGGTCGAAGCATCGAACGAACGGAGGGAGGATGGAAGGGGCTGGTTCTCAGAGGTGGCATTTTTCCAGTGCACTGAAATACCTGGTGCAGGTGAAAGAGATACGTCACGCACACACGCGTCCACCGTTCAAGAAGGGGGTAGGGGAACGGGCGCGGAGCGTTACGGACAATGCCAGGCTGCGCTACGACGAGGTGCGTACGAGGTGACTGCCTGTGTTCGGTGTTTCGCGAACAAATGGGAGAGCATCGTGCCGGCACCCTGGCTCGGTGGCGAGGAGACGGCGGGAGGGTAAAGGGGGGCACGAGGAGGTAGAGGAGAAGGTGGACGACGACGACAACGACGAAGGGGAAGAAGAAGAAGAAGAAGAAGAGGTTGAAAGCATTGTTCCGCGCCCCTCGCTCCGTTCGCCGCGGACCGCTCGTTTTTCGTCCCACCACATTTCATACCGATGCACCATGCGGTACCTTAGCTCCTCTACCTTCTTCCTAAAGCCACCTCAAACGCACCGGCCCGTGCTCAGGTGTGCTCCATTGTTAAACGCCCCACATATCGCGTACACGCTCCGCGCTTACCCTCTTTATTATGTGTTTGCCCATTATAACGAGAGGGAGAAAGAGACGGGGAGGGATGATGGCGGGTGAGGGGAACCGAGGTAGAACCGAGCGGCGAGGCAAGAGAAGGGAATATGAAAAAGAAAAAAAGAAGGGAAAAGAGCCAGGCGTAGGGTAAGGGGAATAGACCGAGAGACGTAGAGCCACTGGCTGAGGGATCAAGTGGCATTGTCCTGTCTCTGGGAGATGCCCTCGCTTTTGTGTATGATTTCTGTGCATCGGCCGACGACTGGTGGGGAGGAGGCTCGAAACACCTAGGCGATGGTCGGGGAACGATAAAATATCCCGTACGAATTTACCTAATGTCGCCGGGCCTTTCCACGGAAGAAGGCATAGGCGTGACCCTAACCGTGGGCGCGCGCGCGCGCGCATGAGGGAAAGTAGACGGCAATAAGTAATGATTTTTGCTTGTACGGATGTTTACATTATGTTCACCGGCAACGAGCACGGACGTTTTGTTGCTTGCTTTGCGGAAGTATTTTGCCAGCCCCGCCACCGAGCCGGAGAGAGAGGTATGGGCTCTTTATTGCCGCCTCGTACACCACGCACGAGATACGCGGGGAATTTTTCAAGCGACCACGGGATTTCCCGTCGGTTTCCAACACCCATGGAATACTCGCACAACGGGAGAGGGCTCACCAAACAGGGAAGTAAAAGAGGAAGAGAGAGAAACAGGGGGCGGGTTGGGGGAGAGGCGCGCATAGCCAAAGGGATTTACGCGGTACTCGCCGCGACCTTTAGGGTCGGCCTATTGAAAAATTAGTAAATTATTTAAGACTCTACCCCGCTGACCGCGTCGGTGCTTGTTCGCGGTTGATTTATTTCGACTATCGTGATGCATGCGCCGGGTATCCAATATTGTAATAGGTTTTGCATACGTACGCGCGTATCATTGTCGAGACGTTCTCGTGGCCTGGCGATTGAAACACTACCCGGGCTATATCTCAACAGGTTCGCCGGGTGTTATGAGTGGCCCCGCTCTACACGGCATTATGTTCCCGTGGATGGGCTGGAACGAGCGAAACGAAGCGAGGGGAGGAGGAAGAAGATACCCTGGTCGCAGTTGTGTCGGATCAGAATCCTATATTATCCGCGCTCTAGAAGCTCCGGGGCAGGTGTATCGGTGACCCTTGTCTTAGCACGTATTCCACACGCATTTTACACCCTTACCCTCTAGCCTGGGATATAAGACAAAGCGAAATATACTTCCCAGCGGTTAGCGAGCGGCCGTTCTCCTCTTCGGGTACTTGTAACCGCGAGACCGCGTGTAACATTGTATAAACGCTTTTTCATCGTGTCTAAGGTGTTGAACTGTTTTCAAGTAAACCGGTTTCGCGGTGGTTATAGATCTTTATTGTGGTACTTGTCCGATGGCGAGTTCAAGTGTCAGGTGATTGTATTTCTACAATAGGGACTGGTTTCTTTCTGGAGTAACGATGGGCGAAATCGAACGGTGTAACTGCTGTTCGTATTAAATACCAAGGGTGTGCGTGAATTTGGAAAATTATTTTGGGAGATTTGATTAATATATTCATGTTTTTTTATTTGAATGTAGTTGTGTTTAGAAATATTTATCGATATGCTTCGAGAGTTTGAGATGCCGTTATTTATGAAGAGGTCTCATCCGTTAATTTTTAGTGGATGATGATTACCTCATATCCACTATAACAAATCTTCGACAGATCAATTAATGGAGAACCTGTACTCTAGCGTAAGTTCAGGTCATGGTTATCTTCAGTTTCCAATTAATTCTACTTCGCCTAATATCGTTTCTTACCCTGTCATTTACTTGAACCGAGCAACACGTCTACTTTCTAACATACATTCTACCTTCTTCGCGTAGTGCTGGTCAAAGCAAAAAAAAAAATGCAGTTTTCCTTATTAAATAAATTTCACTGGGTAAAGACCAGGCGAAACTTTCACGCGTGGATGAAAAATCTAGAATATACAAACAGCCCGCGTAGGCTTCAAGTTCACGCGCTGTAAGTTGCATCAAAGTTGTCGGACATTCAATCCCCGGTGTGCGTTGCGCGAGAGCGGCCGGTAATGAAACATTTAACGCGGCGTCCCCCTTATCTCTGCATCTCGTAATAAACAACGAACGGAGGAAGAGGCGCGATAATTCGTCCATGCCAGCGGTTTCGCGACTTTTTCTCCCGTTGAAGCGTTCCCGTTACACTACGACGACGCTCGGAATGGCCAAGAGCAGATACTCGATGACCACTGAAATGGAGCGCCGGTGCAAGTCGTTAATCATGAAACGGTGGAAGCCATGAGTATTGATATTTTTCAACATGGTCGAATGACAGTGGATGCTTCGATCGTATAACGTAGAGTTACTTGCTTGGCGAACATTGTTTCGCGATATTGTATGGGAACGATTGTATGTTATTGCAAGCAGCGCATAGACATTTTCTGCGAGGACTATAGGCATCTTCTATCTAGAAACAGTTCCTGTCCGTTACACCCGTCCATTACAAACGTCGAATCCGCGCCGATTCTCTAATTCATCGGCGACCGTGGGTAACATCGCCGCGATTTATCACGAGATCAAGATACCTCACCGCGGGGGAAAACGCTAGGCCTCTTGCCTCGTAGGTAAATCGTCTCTGAATACCAGCGTTCCACAATAATTCGCCTTGACTTTTGTTCGGACCGGTTGAGTTATGTGTGTTCGCGAGCTTCGAGAGCAGCGCATCGCCTCGAGACAATCGCTGCATTCTGCTGTCGCGCGCGAGTTTGCCCGTCAATATCGATGTACGTACTTCACCATTGATTTCTTTCTTATGTGTGTACGTTTCTAAACTGGTTACGGGTTCATTATCTGATAAAATGTCTTGGACGACTGCACATTCTGAGCGGAAAGAATGTAGATACATATACAGTATTCCTTAGAGAATTAGTCTTTACATCGGTGTGTCAGGGTTTGTTAACTACTCCATAGCGATCAAGAGATTCAAGACTAAAAGTGTCTAATAATGGCTGCCCTGATACCCTAAATTCTCTACAATTTATTTATATACACGAATTCTCAAAACTTGAACCTAGCTGCATTAAACAACGCTGGAGTAACTATATATTTTTGTCGGAAAAAATATCTCAATCTCAGTGGAATTATTTGTGATTAATTATTAGTATGATTGGTATATCGTTCCATACTATTTAAAAAAATGTGAAATGTGCAGCAGCTGTCATCTACCGTTGAATGTGCTTAACGATCCAACCTTATGGTCAATACAGAATTCGATTGTGACTGTTAATTGAAGAGTAAAGAGTATAAAAGACTTACTAACAGTGACAGCCGTAATACATCGGTGTTCATCAGCTTAACAAAAAGCCTCCACGCGGTTGTTTACAAACATTACGGTCCCTCGGTGTTTACGTGAACGTGAGCGTACACGTGGTAATAGTCGCAGCGTCTGGTGCTCGAGAGGTTACCGTGAAAACACGCGACTTATTTTATCAAGTAGAATATTAACGATCAACAAATATAACTGCAACGTAACTACAATCGATGTACACATGAGCACTGTTCATAATTTCACGTGACAGGGAAATATATGGAAAACACACGCGACCTTTTTAGAGCAGCACCGCGGGACAACTATTCGACCGTGGCCATATTAGTTTTCTTATAAATGACAGATGACGCGCGCCGATGTCCCAAGCGGCAAAATTCGAAATTATGTATAGCGCCATATTGCATACATTAGTGTTTACAAGTTCGTCGTGCCGTTCGGGTGTTTTCGATCAGCTGTCGTTTCAAAGGTGCATAAGTTATAGACAATATCGTCGATGTTCTGGTTCTCGAATGTGAAACATTATTTACTGGCTGACGATTCGGAAAGTCTGGTTCGTGACAGTCTTTGCCTATTCTTGTGCTGAATTGAAAAACGCCAGATTGTTGTGTTCGGTGAGTGATTTTCGTTCTTACTATTTATACTCTTCTACTAATACTTACAATTAGTTTTTAAGTATACATATGATAGATGTATATGATAGATAGAATATAAACTGTGAGGCTGTAGAACCTTCGCAAATTAAATACCTGTATGTATACCCTTCGCTAAAAATGTTAGGTTATAAACGCCTAAGGATCAATTTAATTCTGCAGATGGCGGTCATATTATAATGCACAGTAGACTGTGGGTGCTTATGAAAATATACATGTTTATAGAGGAATATGAAACAAGGCTTAGTGATTTTATTGCATCTATTAAGCATGTTATTAAGATAAATATAAAATAAAACTTTCACGAAACTTTCTATTTCGTTATTCCATTGAAATATGTATACGTATGTATGGTGCATGAGTATCCACAGTTCTGTTAAAATTCTAAATACATCAGAATTATGTAAATGTTAGTATATACAGCTTCACTGGGTATAACCAATACCATATCAAACTCTGCTTCGTTGCTATTAACGCACGTTTAAGGGGTAATTATTCTGCGATCTAAGAAGGAAGCGAGTATCATAACAAACCTGCAGGCTGATTTACTGAAGATTAATTCAGTCTTTTTTCTTCTAAAGACGCTATCAATTTAATTTTCGACCTTAATTGAATGAAGATTCGCGTATCGCTCCGCATGCCAGACCGAACCGTGGATATATACACGCGTTGTTAATCGATCCACGTACGTCCGTCAGAATCGCGATTTGTTCGAGACGCGGGACGATTAGTGATTCGGATCACCGAGAAGTAAGACATTACGCGGACGGGTATAATTACGGTGTCGGTACGAGTTCTGAGGAGTTCCGAAGATTTTTTCGCGACGACGCGTCCGTTTAGGATGCTCGGTAATTAATGGATCGGCTTGCTGAGAGGCTCTCTCGCGAACCTAGTTAAATTTAGCGAGATTTAGCATAACGCGCAGTTAATTAGCCGAATGGAATTCATGGCATCCGATTAAGGGGAGTTCGGAATAGGGAACAACACGGGGATAGGCCGGGTCGGTCAGCTCGTGAAGCCCGCGTGTAGATCGCGTCCTTGTGTGGCCAAATAGGTAGTGGCGACATCTACTTGGCGCCAGTCCACTCGTTCTGCAAGGCGGTACCATCCCGACAACGCTCTATACGCTGTCGTAGAAGGAAAGGGCAGAAACACACGACGAGGGGAGGCAGAGGAGCACGACGACGACGACGACGACGACGACGACAACGGGAACGCAGACGACAGAGGCGCGTCGTTTCAGCTGCCTCCCGTTCGGAAACTTGTGCAGCTCTCACCGGGCGCTGAACACACGACGATCGAGTGAAAAAAAAAACGTACCTCTCGCAAAACCACCGGCGTAATATACGATCCTAGGGGTCCCGACCGAGAGCGTCCAACGTTTATCTCTTTCCGATACGGAAGTCTGCCGCAGGAATTAATTGCCTTCCGTGGCAACTTACCACGCTTGGCTCCGGCGTCCCCGGTGCAATATCTGTTCCCCTCCGAGCCATTAGCCGGGCGCATACTTTACATTAGAAAGCCACGTAAGAACCGTGAGGCACAACGAGGAGACCTGTTCACCGGCGAAACCTTGTTTCGCGGAATTCACGCTTCTAGGATTGGCCGAGATAAAAATCCACGACGAAAACTTATCGTGGATCGTTAGGGGATCGCGTTCTGGTGCCACCGGCCGGTCGAAGACCACCTCACGATTCCACGGCCGCCCATCCAGGTTCCACCGGTGATTATCTATTTGCGAACTATCGAGTTCTGTGTCATTGGTAGCACTTTCTGTGATGGTCAGATTGGAGATGGACTCGATCAATGTTTATAGACTCTAGGTTGTTCTTATCCCTTTAGATCTTCAGAAAAATATATTTTCACCAGATATAAATCTCTGGTATTCTCGAGGAGAAACCTTTGGAATAGTGATATTTTCCATAAAAATAACTTTAGTGTTTACTACCACGGGATTAAAAGTCCACACCGGCTGGATGTATCTGCTGTTCAGTTTCCACTCGTATCGCTCGATTCTTTTTCTTTCACTGCGTGAAAGTGAAACGATTGAAGCGAATCGCGCGAGAAGCCACGCGAGGAACAGGGGACACGAGAGAGGAGCGCGCGTAGAGCGGAGGATCGTTCAGGTTGGGTCGAGCCGTTAATTTATATCGCGAACGAAGAGCGGAGCCAGGCGTTATTAACCTGTACTGTCGAGGCTCTGGATGTGTGCGCGCGAGCCGGCCGCCGCGAGGCGTGAGAATTTGTCTCGCTCGAGACTGGATAGGAGATCGTTCAGGATCAACGACGGCTGTTCCAGCATCCATTCTCCCCGTAGTTTCCTCCTTCGTGTCGCGATAGGATAATGCGCGAGCGTTCTAGCTGCGCCCGGTTGTGACGAGACAATCGAGAAAAGAATAGCTCCCCGGGCAGCCTATAGCGAACTTTCACTTCGATTTGCGAATACGCTCTTGGCGTCGAAGAAATCTTAAGAGACAGCGGACGAGCAGATAACCCTGTCTAAGGGAGGGGAGGATAAGGGGGAAGGCATAACGCGCGAATCTTTATTGGCAGACGGTCTATACGTTCACTTTTCCGACGGTGATTTCCGTCGAAAGGAGAAATCACATATACACTACGATCCCAGCCACGGTGAGATTGACTTCTTTTTCGTTCACGAAACGGTAACTTTTCTGTCGGACGGGAAAACGCGCGAACCGTGCAATTGTATGATTTATACACACGGTGATGACAAGTCTCGCGGCTACTTACACAGACCGCTTTTACTTGCGTAACTGGCAAATTATATGCTGGAAATAATGGTTTCTTCGCGGTACGCTTATAGACATTTACTCGCGTCCGTGTCGTTCGCCGCTTAATTTGAACGTTGTTTTATTTACTTGTTAGGTTACATGCGCCGCGCATAACGAGGTACTTTATGTAGTGAATAATTTGAATATTTTAAGGTGACTCGAGGTAGTCCACGGTGCCCCCTGCATTTCGCGAAAGTGTCGTATAGTAATGGTCTTATGTGTAGCGATAATTCGTAAAGAATTTTGATAAGGCGATAGCAATTAGAAATTACGGTACAGTTAACTTTGCGATGGAAAATGCCAGGTTTCTATTTTAAGCAACAATATCTTAATTCATTGATTTTATTGGCTATGTATGCGATTATAGGGCTGCGAATAAGTCTATTAAAAGCGGTCTAACTGTTACGAAATCAATTAGAGGTGTAATACATCCCACAGATCCAGCAGAAGTAATGATATTTCTGAATACAATTCAGTAGAATCATTTACCAGGAAGAAACGAACGTTCGCGTATTTTTATCTCGAGGTATTATTTGGTTACCAGATTGCCAATTACACGAATGACCATCGTTCATATTACTTTGTAATTCTTCGTTCCAAAATGACCATCCGTTCGCACGCGCATCAATCCAATTTCCCTCTGCAAACGGATCGCCAGACTAAACAGTGGATTTCCTGTTATCCGATCGATTCACGTCTAGCTTTTCAGCATTTCATAATAACGAATGAGCCATTTAACCGTTAGATTAAAATCTACATTGAACGTTGCATCACGGTAAAGTGCGGTTCACAGCCAGCGGCGGAAATTCCACACGCTCCCGGAATCGATCTACCATGAGTATTCGCTACCGAGAGATGAACTCTAATCGTGGTATTACAAGTTAGTGAGCAAAATGGAACTGTGTTAACCGTAAATATATTAAGTCTAAAATGAAACGTTGTCCAGTTTATGTCGATTGTTTACATCTATCAAATAGCTGGATGACTTAGAGATTTAGTCCAATGAGCCAAAATCGCTTAGACATTAATAAACCTTTCCTTTATAAATTCCTGTGTAAAAGTTCATGGAATAATGATGTTCTAGACAAATTCTTGATGCCCATGAAGGAGTCATTTTCATTTACCAACGTTGGTTATCTTTAGTCTCAATTTCTAAACATAGTTCTTTGTGCATTACAGGATCAGAATGATTTTCGTAGATAAATAAGCCCTTGCATCTATTGATAGTGACTTAACGCTACGTCCTCAAAATAGGGAATATCAGGGACTGTACGAACTCTATCGGGAGAGAACACTAATTTTACCGCTGCATCGTAGTCGGTAGAACTATTAATAAGTCATAACTAATACGCTACACGTCGCAAAACTCGAAAACTCGCACGTCACGCCAAGAATAAAGACGTTATACCCGGTCCTCGAGTCGCTTTTAATAGCTATCTCATTCTTCTTCCGTTAATATCGTTCACGTAACACTCTCAACAGGATGTTAAGCCAAATTCCGCGTGCTGCACAATGAAGTGCGTCCTCGTTACGTTGATATATTCCAGTTTAATTCGCAACGACCGCGATGGATGGTAACACGCGT